ACCATAGTCTTTTATTTCCTTTTTCTGTCACCATTCAAATTGGGGTGTCTCTTTCTGACTGGTTTCCTAAATATTTTAGTCTTCCCCTTGGTAATAACCTCGTTCCATTCTTTACCTTGCTGTTCCAGACAGCTAAGCAAATTTGGTTCCCTAAAATTATTACCTGTCTTGACCCTGGATTCTTCATTGCTAGACATTTGTTCATGTTCATCAACTTTCTATTTAAAAATCTTGCCCAAGCATTCTCTGTGTGCTAAGCGCTTGCTTATTCTGCTGCTTGTAGCAATGAATCCCGTGATAAAGCCTCATGATTCCACGTTCCCATAATTTCGAGTCCCCTTGATTTTTTCTATACCCAGAAAACAAATTTGTTGGCTATATAAATATGTATAAATATCCACATGCTGTTCTGGTCTTACACCCCCACCAGCCCCTACCAGATTCTTTCCCTTTTCATTTAAAAGTCTAATACATGGGACAAAACTTGCACTTACAGAAATGAACTTTGCCCCCTACCTCATCACCCACTGAGTGTCCTGTGGCCACCCCTGGCATCTTTGTATGCAGGAAAAAAAAATGTGTGAAGCACATTGAGAGAGAGAAAGGTACGAGGTGTAGAGTGACTGCTTGGGAAAATAATTCACCACACAGAAGATGGGAAAAATGAATTATACTATATAACATTAGGTAGTGAAGAAAAAGGTAAAGGTAAAGGAGCCCTGGACAGTTAAGTCCAGTCAAATCTGACTACAGTGGTACTTTGGGTTAAGAACTTAATTGTTCTGGAGGTCCATTCTTAACCTGAAGCTGTTCTTAACCTGAGGCATGCTTTCGCTAATGGGGCCTCTCACTGCCGCTGGCACACAATTTCCATTCTTATCCTGGGGCAAAGTTCTTAACCTGGAGCAGCCACTTCCTGGTTAGTGGAGTTTGTAACCTGAAGCATCTGTAACCCAAGGTACCACTGTATGGGGTTGCAGCGCTCATCTCACTTCAGGCTGAGGAAGCGGCCGTTTGTCCACAGACAGCTTTCCAGATCATGTGGCCAGCATGACTAAACTGCTTCTGGCGCAATGCAACACTGTGACAGAAACCAGAGTGCATGGAAACACCGTTTACCTTCCCGCCGCAGCAGTACCTATTTATCTACTTGCACTGGTGTGCTTTTGAACTGCTAGGTTGGCAGAAGCCGGGACAACACCAAAGTCACTTAGTTCGAAGGGCTGGTTCCTATGGTGTAGTAGTATTAGTAACAGTAGCAGTAACAGTAGTAGTAGCAGCAATTTATTTGTGTAAGAGTACATTGGTACAACTGAAATGACTAAATGTCCATGTTACATGATGACATGTATGTGTATTGCATCAGGTAGGCATGACCAACTGCACCTTACTGCTCCATGTATGCATGAGGCGGAATATAAGAAGCTGCAGTATACCAATGCAGACTATTAGTCCACTTGCTCAGTGCAGTCTACCCTCACTGGCTTCAACTCTCCAGGGTTTCAGAAAGCAATCTGCCAGAGATTGAACCTTGGACTTTTTGCACGCAAAGCATGCAGCCTATCACTGAGCTATTGCCCTTCCCTCACATGTTCCAAGCCAATTATTATTATTATTTATTGAATTTATATACTGCCCTATACCTGGTGGTCTCAGGGCAGTTCTCAGAACAAAAATATAATAGTGTACACAACTGAATTAATGCATACACTTTGAATCTATATATTAAATAGCACAGACAGCTCGACTGCACAGCTAATGTTCAGCAGCAAGTGGTTAAAACCTTAATTTTAATTTCTGTACTGGCCATTTACATAGGGAGTGCCAACATTTACATCCCTGCGAACAGAGGAAAGGCATGACTGTACTTGGTTAATAACTTTCCTTCATTAGAGATTTTAAAGTAGAGATTTATGACCATCGATCCTGCAGATTTCTTACTTTGAGAGAGGTGGCCAAGATGGTCTCTGAGGTCCCAGATTTAACCGTGATTGTATTATTCAAACCCAATTTCAGTGGCTGATACGTCTTTGAAGATTTGGAATTCCAGCAAGGTCTAGTGAGTAAGTTTAGCAGCTATAGGATAAGAGGAGAGATCCATTTATGTTTCTGTAGCTGGTTATGGAACAGGAATGAGAGGAGGAATGATCAGACATTCTTCCAATGGAGGGATGTTGAAAGTGGTATTGGGGGATTGGTACTGGAGGCTGTGCTTTTTAATTAGTTTATAAATGCTCTAGATTTTTTTAAAATAAAAAAACCTTTTATTTCAGTTTTGAAATATGAATAAAAAAACCTAGAACAACAATACAGAGCAGTCATAAATGATTTACTGTTAGGGGTGAGTGGCGAGATAGCCAGATTTGGTGATGATAGCAAATTGTTCAAAATAAAAAGTGCAAGGAGATCCAGCTAAATTGGCTGAATGGGAATTAAAATGGCAAATGTAATTTGATGTATGCAAGTGTAAAGTGATGCACACTCGGTCAAAATATCTTAATTTCACATATATGCTAGTAAGTCTCATTCTCAGGAATAAGATTGTGGGGCCACAGTGGATAGCTCAAAGAAGATGCTGACCCACGTGTTGTTGTTGTTGTTGACATCTCAAGAGATAATGACATGTGCCTCAGGGCGCGAACTCAAACTGCTGTGTTTGCAGCCCTCAAGTGACCTTCCTGGCGCAGTGTGTGTGGAGGTCCTGGGCTGCCCAGATAACAAGACTTCCCTCTGGCCCAAAGGAAAGCAGAACGATACATTTGGCACGAGCTTGGCTGAAGGAGTTGCTGGAGGGAAATGTACAAGGCACCATCCAACCATCTTAGGGCCTCCACTCCAGATTTGTGTAGGGTTTACTCCTTAGCCTTTTCTTCTCTCAAAGATGTCCCGCAAGGCAGAGGAGGTTTAGGAACAGAGTTTTCCTTCTCCTAAGCTGTGAAAAAAGCAGATTCCATGTTAGCAGGGATCATTAGGAAAGGGAATTAAAATAGAACTGTCAATATCATACAAATCTATGGTGTGAACACACTCTGAATACTGCGTACAGCTCTGGTTGCCGTACCTCAAAATGGGTATTGTAGCTCTGGAAAAGTTTCAGAAAAGGACGACCAAAATGATCCAGGGACTGGAGCAACTCCTCTATGAAGGTTACATTTCTGGCTTTTTAGTTTAAAGAAAAGGTAAGAGGTCATATGATAGAGGTGTACAAGGTTATGCATCGTGTGGAAAAGGAGAAATCTTTCTCACCCTCTCATACTAGAACCTGGGACCATCAAATGAAGCCGAATGTTGGAAGATTCAGGCTAGGCAAAAGAAAGTATCATATTTTTTGCTCTATAAGACTCACTTTTTCCCTCCTAAAAAGTAAGGGGAAATGTGTCTGCATCTTATGGAGCGAATGCAGGCTGCGCAGCTATCCCAGAAGCCAGAACAGCAAGAGGGATTGCTGCTTTCACTGCGCAGCGATCCCTCTTGCTGTTCTGGCTTCTGAGATTCAGAATATTTTTTTTCTTGTCTTCCTTCTCCAAAAACTAGGTGCGTCTTGTGGTCTGGTGCGTCTTATAGAGTGAAAAATACGGTGCTTCACACAACATCTGGTTAAACCATGGCACTCATTCCCACTAGTCACTTTGGTTACCTTCTATTTCCACTGTTGGAAGCAGTATGCCTCTGAATCCCAGTTGCTAGAAATACCAAGTGTGGAGAGTGCTATTGCAGTAAGCTCCTGCTTGTGTGCTTCCAACAGGTATCTGGCTGGTTGCTGTGAGAACAGGATGCTGGACTACTGGGCCTTTGGCCTGAACTAGAGGGTCTCTTCTTATGTAAACGAATAAATGTATCTGGGATAGCAGCATGCAGACAGGACCAGCCCCACTGCACAAACACCACCAGACATTGCTTATTGTGGGGACAATGACAAAGGGAATGGATAAGCATTTGCCAGGTGAAGACAAGCAGTACAATGAGAACCAGGTCACCTCTGCACCACATGGCTTCGCCCAAAGTGTAGTTTGTCAAGGGCGATGGGAATTATAGCTCTGCAAGGGGTGGAATGCCACCCCCAGATTCGTTTGGGGGAAGCCATGTACTTTAAATGCATGGTGCGGATGTGAGCCCAGAGTGCTTTGAGCAAGGGGTCCAGAGAGCGCGGCTCCTCGTGGCCCTGGAAGTGAGCCCCTCGCATCACTGCAGAAGACGCGCCCTACACCAGGAGGAGCCGCATCTCTCACCAAGCTTGCACAGTGGCCGGCGGGATCCTGAGCAGCACAGGGTTGCTCGCTGCAACACTAACCCCGGGGCAGCAAACTGGCTGGCGTCAACAACACAGCTAAACGCACGCCCGAGCCCCTGCTCCTCACGTTACGAGAAAGCCATTATTCCCTATGTTCCAGCACTAAACCTTGACGTTATTTCAGAGCCCAGGCGTATGTGCGCGCGTGTTTTTTTGGGGAAATGCTCCTGAGGAGGCCGATGCGCGGGAACCTGCCTCTTGAAAGTAAGCCTCGTAGCGCTGACGGGGACTTACTCCAAGGTTAAGCGCGCGACGCAGCGGCTTTGCAGCCGCGGGGAGGGCGAGGCGCTCTTGCAAACTTCCCCCCGCGCGTAACGTGTTGCTCGCTGGCAGCGTCCAGCAGCCGAGTGCGCGCTGTCTCGCTCTCGCTGTTGTTGTTGCTGCAGCAGCAGCAGCTCTGGGCTCTCACAGGTGGGGGAAGCGGGGAGACCCCTCCCTCGTTCCAGAAGCGTCCGCTCCCCTCGCCCTCCTTCTCGGCGCTCTGGCGGGAGGGCGACGGCGTGGGCGGCGACGGCGCGGAGCGAGTGACTGAGGAGGGCGAGAGGCGGCGTCCGGGCTGGGGGCGGATTTTTTGAGCCGCGTCGGGCGGGTACCTCAGAGCGACGGCGGCGGCGGCGGGTGCAGCCAGGAGGGTCACTCTGGCGCTCTGCCTGAGGTGTCGCTTGGTCGGCCGGGGAGGCAGTCTCCCCTCGGCTCTGCCGCCACCTCCATGGACGAGCACCTGAGCCTGCTGCGCTCGCCGGCCGCCCTGTCCTCCGGCAGGCACCCGAGGGGCGGCAACAGCGGCGGCGCTGGCGTCGTCGTCGCGGGCGTCGTCGCCGTGGGCAGCAGCCACCACAACTTGGGCTACAGTGAGCAGTTCTTCCCCGAAGGCGCGCTCTCGGGGCCCGGGGAAGGGCAGGAAGACGACGAGGAGGGCGTCGAGGAGGACGTGGGCGACGGGGAGCTGGAGGGGGGCATGACCGTGGTGGGGGGAGAGGACCCGCTGCTCGAGGAGACCCAGCACGCCCATGCCCTGCTGGGAGGGGAGCGCTACGACCACCCCTCGATGGCCCACACCCTGCCTCCCCCTGGCCATCACCAGGTGGGCAGTGGGGGGGACGCCGGGGAGCACGAGTGTTGTGAGCGGGTGGTGATCAACATCTCTGGTCTGCGCTTCGAGACCCAGCTCAAGACGCTCGCCCAGTTCCCCGAGACCCTGCTGGGGGACCCCCGCAAGAGGATGCGCTACTTTGACCCCCTCCGCAACGAGTATTTCTTTGACCGCAACCGACCCAGCTTCGATGCCATCCTATACTACTACCAGTCTGGAGGCCGCATCCGGCGCCCTGTCAACGTCCCCATTGACATCTTCTCGGAAGAAATCCGTTTCTACCAGTTGGGCGAGGAGGCCATGGAGAAATTCCGAGAAGATGAAGGTTTCATCCGTGAAGAGCAGAGACCTCTGCCCGAGAAGGAGTTCCAGCGCCAGGTGTGGCTCCTCTTTGAGTACCCGGAGAGCTCTGGACCAGCTCGGGGCATTGCGATTGTCTCAGTCTTAGTTATCCTCATCTCCATTGTCATTTTCTGCCTGGAAACCTTGCCTGAGTTCAGAGATGACCGTGACTATGACAGCACCACAGGGACATTTGGGACCAGTGGTGGACCTTTCGTGGCAGATATCTTCCCAAATTCCTCTTCTCCAGCAACCTCCATGGTGTCCTCTTTCACTGATCCTTTTTTTGTGGTGGAGACTCTGTGCATTATCTGGTTCTCCTTTGAGCTGCTTGTCCGTTTCTTTGCTTGTCCCAGCAAACCCACCTTCTCCAAGAACATTATGAACATAATTGACATTGTGGCTATTATTCCTTATTTCATCACCTTGGGCACTGAGCTGGCCGAGAGGCAGGGCAATGGTCAACAAGCGATGTCTCTGGCCATTCTCAGGGTCATCCGGTTAGTCAGAGTCTTCCGTATATTCAAGCTCTCTCGGCACTCCAAGGGGTTGCAGATCTTGGGGCAGACCCTCAAGGCCAGCATGAGGGAGCTGGGCTTGCTCATTTTCTTCCTCTTCATTGGAGTTATCCTCTTTTCCAGTGCTGTCTACTTTGCAGAAGCTGATGATCCCACGTCCAGCTTCAGCAGTATCCCTGATGCCTTTTGGTGGGCTGTAGTGACCATGACTACAGTGGGTTATGGTGACATGCACCCAGTCACTATTGGGGGCAAAATAGTAGGGTCTCTCTGTGCCATAGCTGGGGTGCTGACCATTGCCTTGCCTGTGCCCGTGATAGTCTCCAACTTTAACTACTTTTATCACCGAGAAACGGAAGGTGAAGAACAAGCCCAGTATATGCATGTAGGAAGCTGCCAGCATCTCTCCTCCACTGAGGAGCTGAGGAAAGCTCGGAGCAATTCCACTCTCAGCAAGTCAGAGTACATGGTGATAGAAGAGGGAGGCATCAGCAACAGTGCATTCAAACAGGCTGCCTTCAAAACAGGCAACTGTACAGCCACAAACAATCCAAACTGTGTGAATATTAAAAAGATCTTTACGGATGTTTAAAAGACACCTTTCAAGGATATATAAAAATATTACAGAAGGTCTCCGTAATCAGTATTGTGAGGAACATGCACCATCGTCATTCTTTGTGCTCTTGTTTAATACATGTACTTTTCTGATCCTTCTTTCTGAAGATGGGCATTTTTAGAAGGTAAAAAAACCAAACAACTAAGCAGATGTTAAGAAAGCAGATAGATAAGAGGATACAAAGAAGTCTGGGCTGTTTCTTCTAAAAACAGGTTTTTGTTCTGTGCTGTTTGTTGCAGGGCTTTGGGGTTTTGCTGGGAAATTTAGCAAAGAGCAGCTCATTTGTTGATTTTCCTTTCTTTGAATGTGTGCACTTGTTGGAATGAAAGTTACGAAGTGAAAGAAACGCGGATGCAAGTGTGTTGCAGTGAGTAGAAAATATAGGCACTGAAATTTCACAAAGCATCTCTGCCATCACGCTGCAAAATGATGCGCACATCATCTAATGTGTGTCATACGAGGGTACAGTTTTGCTTTTGTTAATGCCAGGTTAAAGCCTGTGTGCAGTCTGAATCTGCCCTAGGCATATGTAAAATAGTTTTTGATATAGCGAGGGGAAAGTCTTCATTGTAAGTCTGGATTTCTTTGATCCACAGAACAACAGAATTGCTTCCTTGAATTCAAAATTCTACCTGCACAGTATAGTGGAAAATACTTCTTCCTACATCACAAGGTTGAACAATTGTCTAACTGGATCATATCCTGAGTGTTTGGCTTTCTGCATATCATGAAGTTTTAGGCTTCTGGTAAGTCACTGATGGGCTTTTCACAGTGACTGTAGCCTCAGTTGAAACCCACCCAAACCTTAGAAACAAAGGGGGCATTTCCATCTATTGCCAATGCATTTAAGATAAGCGGTTGCATCTATCACAAGAAGATTAAAGTGGCAAACACGCCTGGCAGCGGAAGTTACTAATTTGGACCTGAGTGATGCAGTTTCCATAGCAACTTTGGTTTCCTGGGAAACTCCCAAAGGTTGTCATGGCATCCATTCCCTCCCTCCCCCAGTCCTTTGCTGTTTCCATAGTAACCCTTCCAGATGGTTCGAACTTCTGTGGTTCCGCAGAAAAGCCGCTGCTCTGATCACACACACACACACACACACACACACACCATTAATCCCAGAGAGATTTAGGTGTGGAAACTAGGCATTATTCTATATGCACCATTTTTAGATGTGCAGAATTCTAAAAGTTCTGGAACCTATAGAAGAAGGGAAAAAAGGATGATATGGAATAGTTTTTGTTGTTCTGCACAGCCTAAAAGAATCATAACATCTGCTCCATATAAAAGCAAGCTTCAAACCCTCCCTTACAATTTGGTGCCTGATAATTGAAAATGGAAATTAAGTCTATATATGCTACCTACAAAGCTGCATAGAAGATTTATAAAGATGACACCATCTCTGCTTCTTTTGATGAAATGATACATTAAATCATGGCGCATGACCTAGTTTTATGCAAAACACCCCTCCTGACACAAATGGCAGCTCCACTTTCAAAGCACGTATGGCACTGAAGAACAAGACCAAAAGCATTTATTACAGAAGGATGAAAATCTGGGGAAATAGATGCAGATGAACCCAAAAGTGTTGGGCTGAGAAATATTCAAATCCTCTGGGGGATGTTTACTCGTATACACACAACTGGGGCTGTGGAATATCAGACAGACACAGGTGAGCTGTTTGCTGCTGCAAGAAGTGTTATTCTTGCTTATGGTGTATAAAATATACCATCTTTGAATAATCAGACATTTCTAACCCCTTAGTTTTAAGATAAAGTCTCATTTTACTTCCTATTATTTTATTTTTAAAATGCTTAAATTCTGAAAGAGTTTTGTTTCCTGCATTTTTAGAATTGCAGTAAAGCTACCTGCTCCAAAGCATTTCTATTGATTTCAATCCAAGTGACTTCCAGAGTAAATATCAGGATATATCTATCTAGCTATTGAAATTCAGTATGTGTTGCAATATTAGCCACTAGTGCATTGCTTTTTGTAACTTGATTCCACTTCTCAAAATGAATCTATAGAGCTGCAAGTTAGTTAATCATGCCAGCTGTGAGGTCCTGATTCAGTGACTTTCAAGCCACCTTAAACCTTGGTAAAGCAAAATGTGTGGTAGATAATGCCTACAGACACCAGACATTCAGCCAATTAAATTTTTTAAAAATTGTTTTCAGCAAATATAGTAGCAATTGAATGGGGATACTTCTATTTGTGGTATGTGTGTACATTTCATGAGATTCAGAGCTCTACTAGCATACAATTTTATGCTTTTTGTATGAAACTATGATCTGTGTGTGGCGATCTTACTTGATCCCATTCAACATTCCCGTCTACTATTATTTTCAGTCACTAAATTCAGCACACTATAATAAATTTATTGGCCAAGCCCACAGTTATTTGTGGCACTATATGGAGCTGCAATTGAGCCTTGTAATTTCCACCAGCTGAGAATTGGGCTAATTAGCGTCGGGTGTAGAGCTGTGCCAGCGAAATCGGTCATAATAGTGTTGTCTGTGTGAATTTCAGCTTGCAAGTTTGTCTGGAGAGAAAGGATAAGAGGGAAGGGGGAGCACTATAGGAATATTGCTTTCTTCTGTTGCTTATTGGTTGAAATGGTTAAATCCTAATTTTGATGTGTGTGGAATATTATCACAAAGCAAGAACTCTTTGGCCAGGATCCAGAGAGTCACTTTGGGTGCATCCTAGGGCTTAGGCATGCCTAATGGGACTGTGAGATTTTCTCTGAGCAGCAGTCTCTCTCTCTCTCCCCACCCCATATCGTTCCCTCTATTTCAGATGTTTAGGCGTGAGTGCCGTTGCTTTATGTAGCCAAAATGGCACCATCCATGAAAACGCAGGAGCTATTATGGCACTTAGGGGAACCCAAAGGTTTACAAAAGTACAGTGGGTGGTATCCAGTCCAATCATTCCATTAGTGCAATGATTTGTGCTTGTGCAACAGAGCTTCCCACCCCTCCCAGATCTCTGGGGCAGGGTTGAGGGAACCTCTAGAACACATCTGGGGATGGAGATGGGGGAATGTTTTGTTGCATGAGCAGAAATCCTATGTTGGATACAACCCAAATTTTGTTTTTGAGAAAAAGCTGCAAAGGTGGTGGTGATGGTGGGGAGAATATCCAAAACCTTCCAAGGACTAAAAGTGTGCAGTGTCCATAGATTGTTGACTGTCAGTAGACATAGGCAAACTCAGCCCTTCAGATGTTTTGGGACGACAACTCCCATTATCCCTAGCTAACAGGATCAGTGGTCAGGGATGATGGGAATTGTGGTCCCAAATCATGTGGAGAACTGAGTTTGCCTGTGCCTGGTCAGTAGGGATGAGGTGAGGGAGAAATGGAAAATCATGGAGGAAGGTAGGGCTGGAACAGCGAACAGGAGCTCTCCATGGTGCAACATTTCGTTGCAAGTCCCATGCGGCCCATACTACTTTGGAAATTTCTCCTTGGTTCCAAAAGAGGCCACGCAGCATGGGGAGATATGATTGGGAGAACTAATTGCATTGTTCTTTGGATCTAGGCCATTAAGATGAATAGGAACTCCCAGCTCTAGGAATAAGTGATGTGCATTATTCTCATTTTATGTTCAGGGTTTTTACTTCACCCACAAGGTGAGAATGAGGACTTTGAGAAGATGACATTGCTTCAGTTTTTTTTACTTGTACCCAGAACATATGAATCCATGTATTCCAAAGGAAAGATCTATTACACAGAAGCCATACATATTGTAAGCATAGAGAAGGCTCTTACTTCAAAAGGAGATCCTTTGCATGTTTGTGTTGTTTTTTTTTAAACTGTTCGTGATTATCAGGGTGAGAAATTCCAAGCTATTGTTTCTGGTGGACATCAAAAAGTCAGCCCAATGGTGACAGAGTATCACTGTCAATGATGGCCCTATTCCCAAATGAAAGGAGGGATCTTTTTAAAATAGTGCCACCTAAGTGGCTGTTTCTTCCTCTTTAGTAGCATACCTGCAAAGTACTGTATTACAAAGACCAATATTTTCAAGCCAGTTGGTCTGTTATTTTCCTGTTTGTTTAATGTTGATTTTACTATTAAATATATACCCTGCATTCTCAGCACAGAGGGTATCACAGTAGTGGCAAAGGCAAAAAGATACTGAAACTGGTGCCCCATTTTTATAGCCATAACCTCCTTTCCTAGGTTCCTGTTTCCCTGGGAAGAGGGCCAGGGGGCAATTTTGATTAGGAAAAGGGTATGGGGGAAATAGTTTAATATTCCATCCTTCCCTATGTTCCTGCAAAGAAATTTGCAGCTCCCCACTCTACATGGCTGCATTTCAGTAAGAACAAAAATCAGATCGAATCATGGTCCTCCCACATAATGCACAGTTTGGCCTTTTGCCCCAGCCACTGAACACAGATCTCATGTATCAAAACTATAGCATGGATCTCCATCACTGTCTAGCAAACTAGGGACCAACAGGTGGGGACATATCACTGTGTCTTAATAGTTTTTGTTGTAAGTCAATCCAGGGGCTCCTTTGGGGGCCAAAAAGCAGTAAATAAATGATCTAATGAATGAAATGAATGGCACGAAATGAGCACTGTTCACAAACAACGCACACCCCAAAGTCAAGGATAACAAAGAAGATATGAAGGACTGATGAGCAACACTTGTCTTCTCAGAATTCTTCTGCCTTGGGACTCCAGATGCAAACTTCAACTCTAAGCCTGCAACCAGAGCTGCAAGGAAAAAGCACCCCACAAGAGGTAGGGAAAGTCAGGTGGTTGTTGGGGGTCACCAGGGAGGGGGGCATTATGTCTCATCATATGATGCCTACACTTCTTCTCCAACCCTCCCAATAAAAGTGATGGCCACCCATGGCCTCAAGAGTGTCTCCCATCAATCCCTGGGAAACTTTTAACTTTACAAGCTTCCCTTCACAGCAGACAGCTGTGGGACACAGGATAAATATACACAGTGTAGAAAGGGGACTTCTGTTTATTCCAGATGTTGGTGAGCTTCCACAAAGCACCAATGAGTGCAGTGAATAACAGCCACCTTTGCTACTGAACGCTAGGCACTTATCTCTGTCTATTGCTACAGCTGGCAAAACACTCATGATGTATTTTCTCCACTCCAGTACAGCCAGAGCATACAGAACAAAAGAAGCTGCAAACTGCAGACAAACCTTCCAGTCCCTACAATGGACAGGTGAGTGTTCTTGCAATGACTGCATTGTCTTCCCCTCCAGGAGAAGCTTCCAAACATAGAGTGGGAGAGTGGCCTGCCAGTGGGAGAGTGGGAAGCTGAGGTGAGGCATGCAGGGTGAAATAGCACCTAGTGATAGCATCCTTTGTTGCTTCTGCTCACTCACCTACCCATAATGTCACTTAGTCACTGGATGTATCAGTTGCTGCTGATCCCCGTTATTCATTACCATCCCATACTTGTCTCCCTGTAGGCAACAAGGCAGCCATTCCATATTCTGAGAGGCAAGGATGATTCCCATCCCTGGTATCATGCAGACCACAAACGGCACCTGCAGCAAGCAGCAATAACCAGTTGAAGGCAGATATGCCTTTGTTGGGCTGCTGTCTTGGTGCCTACAGCTTTTCCATCAGGTGTGATAGCCCATAATGTAAACAGGGGTAGCCAGCATGAACAGTGATAAGGAAACCTGCATCTATTACTCTTCTTTCTCTTGCAGTTTTCAAGCATACAGAAATCCTGCAAGAATGCAAAGACAACAGCCTTGATTCTTCTGTGTTGCTGTCAGAACTTATACCTGCCACTGATATGGTTTAATAAAAGCTGGGATGTTGTGAAGCTGTGTTTCAGCTTTGTCTGTTTTCTCATGACGGTTGGCAGGTAGGAAACTATCACCCTCCAATTTTTGCTCTGCTCAGTTGTCTCCCAAGAGAGGCACACAAACTAGGCAAGGGAACAGTGAGTTCCTTGCTACAACAACACAGTAGGACTGTGGATCAGCATCTTGCCTATAGCTTTGAAATAGAAGTACTAGTAATGACGAATGGGTTGCCTCCTCTACCTGACTTTCTCTGTGATGATAAACCTACCAACTGGGCTGCACGGAGAGAGGGAATGCAGGGTTGGCTGTGGGTCAAACTGATCACAAGGTTGCATGGAACACTAACCGACACATGCAGCAGTTGTCAAAATGAGTATATTTCTGAATGGGATGAAGTAGGCCTGGCAAAATGAGAAGTGTTCTGGAGTATGAATGAAGCTGAGAGAGAAATGATTGGTCTGTGCAAATGACATTAACTGGATATCTCATTGCTCTGTCTTGGTTTGTCTGTGGTTCTTCCCAACCATTTCTCCTGGGATTCTGTAGCTAGTAGTGACTCTGAAGGCTTTGGCATGCTGCATCTGTGCTTTTCCATTGGGTTATGGATGCACATAGTGCTCCTTTGGTCCACATGACTAGGAGCTTTCGTGTGCATTGGGGTGCTTGAGAGGAGTAAGTGGCATGTCATAGGAGACTACAAAGGGCCCTTCATAAGTTATTCTGTGCACACCTTTGGCTTGGTGGTCAAAGTGTAGCTTTGGGTTCTGGTCTTGTTGTTTCCCCCTGTCTGCTGGCTAGACACATAAAATGTAGGCTGTGCCTGGTAAAGATCATATTCACATCTCTCTGGATTTTGGTTTGAGATCTCATTTTGTTTTCCCCTCTGTTTTGCTCCTTCCCAATGACCTGCTAAGCAGCTCACAATACTTTCTGCCATGGGTCTACTGTTGTAGCATTCATTTTCCTTTGTCCATGTGCCTCTCCCCACTTTCCCCTGAAAAATGCTGTCTCTCCTCACATTCACAGCAATGCAAACACACTTTGTCTTGAATGGAGGCATTGATCCTCTCCATTGAGACTGAAACCTTCCTCCTGAGATCTCCTCTGGCTTCTTCATGCAGGTCTCCTATGCAGAGTGCCATGACAGCTTACGCAGGAGGAGTCACTGTGGTCTGCTTTTTATGTCTGATACTGAGCAGTGCAAAAGCTGTGTGCATACTGGCTTAGGTGACATAATGAGGTCATTTGCTCATTTATTCATTTATTGTAGATACATGCTGCCCTTCAGTTTACGAAACCTGGCCTAATTTCAGGAGGCACTTAAAGGACTCTGAAGATGATAATCACAGCTAGGCTTCTCTCTCTTTGTTCCCTCCAAATGTTGTACCTCCACAACCCTTGTGACCCCTGACCATTAGGCATGCTGGCTGGGACTGATGGAAGTTGTTAGGTATCAAGGATATGTGGAAGGTACCATGTTGGGGAAGGCTACACTGTTGTCCTTGCTGATGCTTTCTATCTATGCAAGGAACTATGCAACTTTCCATTAGCTCAGATTAAGGGTTCTGACAGAACTTTCGAAAGATGCTCATGTGTTATAGTCCCCAGATGGATAGAGTCTCTAGATTTGGTGTATGTGTCTGATGTAGTGCATATATGGTGCTACCAAGAGGCAATTGATACTGGAAACTGGTGAAGAAAAGGAATGGGTGGTGGTTCTTAGGGTGTGTTTGGTCCAGCCTGTTTAGAATTTTTTTATAGAAAACTTGCAATTTGAGTGGTACCTGAAAAACAATAGAAAGCCATTGTAGGTGCTGAGACATTGACACAACCCAATGTTGCATTTTAGTATATCCTGCTCTAGCTGAATTTTTCATAGTCATAAGGGGCAGCCCATCATAGATAACGTTACAGAGCCTTTGTTTGAGGTTACAGAAGCATGGCTAATTGTTGATGAGTGCCAAGTCAACATCTCATAGAAAGGTTCACAACCTTCTTGCCAGGTGAAATTGCTGGAAAGCTTGATGCATTTGATTGATGCAATGCTGTCTTAACAACCTTGCAAACAAATCAGAATGATTGATCAGTAAATAGATGATGCCATTTAAACTTTGTGCAAACAAATCAGGATGAATGTTTAGGGTCATCTGGAAGCAACCCAAGTCTTCACATGATGGTGCCAAGTGGCTTTACATATGTGTATGAGCAGGAAGGGTCAAGATCAATCTTGTGTCGTCAGAGGGAAGTGATAAGGGAAATCCCCATAATCACCTGCTGGGAACTTGTTGAGAAGAACAAGTAGAACCAGTCAAGGATGGTCTCACTATATCAGGTGTGGGATGTCTGTGTCCCTCCACATATTGTTAGACTACCACAACCATCATTCCTGATATTGGCTATGCTGGCTGGTGCTGATGGGAGTTGGAGTCCAACAACATCAGGAGGGCCACAGATTCCCCACCCCTGCACCAGATATTGTAGTTGTCCAGTATCCTGTGTTGAATAATATGAATATAGCAGGAAAATATCACAGGATGAATAGAGTTCTACTGTTACCTGTATCAAACAATAGATAAAGATTGCTTGCTGAGCAAGGCTGTAAATGCCCTAGTCCAAGCTAAACAATCGAGAAATCTGATAGTACAGTGGTACCTCAGGTTAAGTACTTAATTCATTCTGGAGGTCTGTACTTAACCTGAAACTGTTCTTAACCTGAAGCACCACTTTAGCTAAAGGGGTCTCCCGCTGCCGCCGCTCTGCCGGAGCACGATTTCTGTTCTCAACCTGAAGCAAAGTTCTTAACCTGAAGCACTGTTTCTGGGTTAGCGGAGTCTGTAACCTGAAGCGTATGTAACCTGAAGCGTATGTAACCCGAGGTACCACTGTATCCAGAAAAAGATGAAGTTGAAAACTAATTGTTCACTTGACATTATTCTACAAAAGGGGAAGGTTAAAAATGAGGCAGTAACTGGCTGGGGAAATTTGCATTTCGGTTTCGTTTATTGAGTAGGAGCCAGACAACTACAGGCCACCTGGAGTCCTTCCCTCCCTGAAAGATGTATTAATATCCCCAGGCAGTTTCTACTAGGCAGGATGGGCATAGACCCAGGTCACAGGTGGTAACCTACATACCGTACTTTTAGATTCCCTGCACATCTCTGGGTGAAGCCAACTGATACCAATCAAAATCCAATGGACTAGGGTGAGCTTTGGATACATAATATGTAAATTCCATTCAGAATTACCTACCCTGAATATGCCTACCTATACCATTAAGGCTACCAAGTTGGTCACTCCCCACCTTTGCCAGTGTTCAGACTTTGTAGTTAAATCTACAAATATTCATAGTAAAGGCTTCATAGATTGGGAGCCAATGCACTCAGACGTGGCTAGGTTATTACATATGAAAAGAGATAACGAAGTGTAGCATAACTCGTTTCTCTCTGTCTCTAGTTGTAAGATTTCTGCTAATGACTCCTTTGGGGATCAGTATGAGGCCCTCTTTAGACATCTTCAGATTCTTCCTCTTGCTCTTTTGACCTTTGGTATTTTTCTCTCTGCAGATATTTAATAAAAAATGGTAGATCTGCAAGGACTGTATGACTAGATAATCAAATAAATTGTGACCTGCTTGTTTTCATTGAGATCATAGGAGGACAATGTCAGTGCAGATTCATCCCTTGAGTCATCTTGCTCACCTTTCTCCATACATCCTGCTGGCAGCTTCACACATCTCCAGCTTGTTGCTAGTGCTGTTAAATTGAAAGTGCAAAAAAGAGGTTAAAACAGGTACCTTAAGCATGGCTCCTGTTTGGCAGGCTGCGCACGGTGGTGAAAATACGTTTAGATTTCAGAATTGGATGAGAACTGAATGCAAATCAGTCCCTCTTCCAAAGCGTTGTGCTGCCAGCAACCCTAAAACATTTCCATTTGGTGCTCCACCTTTTCTTTCATGGTGCAATGAAGTGGCGGTCTTGAGAGATGAATATGCATCTTGATTTTGCCTCAGGCAAAAGTTAAAACATTTCCATTTCAAGTATAAACCCCCAGCTGGCTAATACTGTTGCTTTTCTCTGTCTGTAATCCTGTGCACATGTATTTGGGAGTTGGCCCCTGCGACTTCAGTGGGTCTTACTTCTGAGTAAATGTGCACAGACTTGGTCTGCACAAAGTGTTATACTGATAGCAAAAGGGGGAACTGTGCAATGGATTGTGGCTCTTTAAAAAAACACCCCTTATTTCTTATGTGACTATTTGGTTAGACTTCTGTGAGCTTAATGCTGCTTTGCCACTAATTTTACCAGTCCTACTCTGGTGGATATTTATGCACAATCCTTGGATTTTGGGTTCCAGTAAGCCCTGTAGTAACACACTGCCAAACATTCATGCATGAAAATACCCCTCTAGTCTTTGTCATTTCATCTTTGTTTTATGAATCGAGATACATGCTCAAGTAAATGTAAGTTGTCTTGTAACAGACTGAACTGTGGAAAGCTTTTGTGTTCAGCTTGCCAGTTGATATAACTATGCTTCTCACCCATAAGAGCAAAATGCATAAAGTCCTACAAGACCGGCCTCTGCTTTGCTGACCTGTTTCTACCTGCCCTGGGTGGGATCCTGACTGAACCCTGCTGTAAAAGGAGGTCAAGAGATAGAGATAGGAGATCTGGATCCTTGTGGGACACTGAAGGGGCCAGAGACTAACTTAACCATGAGTCCCACAGGGCTCCAGATCTCCTATCTCTTGACCTCCTTTTTGAATTTGTATTTACAGGGCAGTGGAGGATGCAGCAAAACACAATGTTACAGCCAGTGTGAACTGACTTAGAGACCTAAATTTGCACTATACATTTGTTTATGCGAATTTCATACAGATACATACATTTACATGTCCTGACTCTTAACTATCTAGCAAAACTCATGTCTAAACTATCTTGAAATTAAAACACACTCAGTATTGACATATCTCTCTGAGGGTTCCTCCATATTACCTATTTATTGAGCATTCATCCTGATTTACTTTCACAAAGCTTGTGTGAAGGTTAGATTATCTGGTCATTCTGTTTGTTTGCATGGTAGTTATATGACAATGAGCATTCATCCTGATTTGTTTAAGGGGTGTTTATATGTCTTCCCATTGACCATTCATTCCACATTTTTCAGTGTATTTCCAATCCTAACTCTGAAAAGTTTGTTTCTTTGTTAAAGTGGATTTTCTGTGCTAGGTGCACCTGTAAACTTGTGATTACTTGTGAGTGCATTCAGCAACATGTCTGTCCCATGTAGCTAGGGAGGACCATTTCCAGACTATCAATGTTTTTGGGTGGGATTCAGTCATATCCCAGCCTGCACTATTAAAGTAGATTTGGAGCTCTTGTGAAACAAACCTGCTTCCACAAAATATAGGATTTCTTTTGCAGTAAGGAAAGTGATGGGAAAATGCACAGAAAGTGTAGAACAATGCATGCTTGATGGAGCTTCATGTAATATCCCCACAAACAAATCAGAACAAATGCTCATTAGACAAGTTGTTTGCAAGTGACCTGATGCAATAATAGTGCATTAGTGGTGCATTTATACTGTAGTGTCTGGACATCATTCCACTTTAATAGTTGTTCTGTGATACTTCCCCAATGCTGTTGCATTATTGCTGTCTGGAGGGGCACTCTTGCAAGAAAAGTGGAACACCCGTCTATTTGTGGTATAAACAGTTACAGGATTTCAACAGGAAGTTATGAGACATGCACTGATTGGAAATGAAGCAATATGTCACACCCCAAAACTTCTGCAGGTGTCAATTGTATTGAAAGTGAAATCACACATAACTGCCCAAAAGTTATACAGAGAGATGGTGGCTAGCCCAGGTTCCCTTAATGATCTTTATTTATGCTGTGTGGATTTGGACTTGGGCTATCCTGCTTCAGGGTGGGATAGGAAAAGTGTGTACCCTAAAATGTGTTGCTGTAAGTATCTTTTTCACCTTCTATTATATATTTATCGGGAAGCTGATGCTTGTGGTGGTTTCTTATTGTGAGGTCATTGCACATCACACTGACTTGCTTTACTGACATGACTAATCTCTGTAACAGAAAATGTATTTTCTGAAGATGCTATCAGGAAACAGTAGATTGGGGTGGAGAACCTGTGACTCTCCAGTTGTTGGATTACAGCTCCTTTCATTCATTGGCTATGCTGGCTGGGGCTGATGAGAGAGTTGGAGTCTAACATTTGTAGAGCCATAGTAGAGGATCAGGTACAGAGAACTGCATTGATTCCCCTCCCCCAAATGATCGCACATGGCTGATTTTGCATTTAAATTGCGTTTCTCAAGATATAATAAGCATAATGCTGTGCTTTCTCATCATTATGCTGAGCCAATGTATAGTTGACTTTGCAAAATCAGAAAGTACTTCCTACTTTCTGTTCAACTTCTGATTATCATGCTAATGGTCTATTGAAGTGCAGAACTGAAGATTTTGGATTTTTATTTCTATTATTAGTGCTGCTTTCTGAACATGTCCCTGAAGGTAAGAACAGATGCAATGAAGGCAGTGAAGTAGGATCCCTTCGCTGTCTCCACAGTCATGTAGTAGGCCTGATTATGAGTCTGAACATGTGCTTGGTTGGCTCCGGAGTGAGATTAATGCCACTTACGCTTCAGCCTTCACCTGGTCTATCTCTATACATTGACCACAGCTACTCAGAAACTTCACCAGGAAGTGGCCTGACCATAACAATGGGATGATATCCATGTGATCTATTTCCAGACCGCCCTGCTCTCCACATGGCTCAAATACAAAATCAAGGGTATATCCTGCTCCGTGTGTTGCACTGATGTTCATCTGAGACAGGCCCATAGTTACCATGGAGGCCATGAACACCAAAACTGGACTTGAGGTTTCCTCAGCTTGGATGTTGAAGTCACCCAAAATCACCATTCTAGGTTCCACACTGCACCCAAGACAAGTTCAGTCAGGGAGGCTGCTGAGCAGCAGGATGGGTGGTACACCAACAGTATCCCAAACCTGCAGATCCTTCCGTCCCCCTCCCCTCAGGGGAAGTGAACTCCTGTGTACATCAACACCTCCCTGCTGCTCCCAGTCTGGGCTGATGTCAAACTGAGTACCTGGGTAGGTAGAGCTGCATCAGTTCTGACCCACCTCCCTCACAGTGGTCTCAGTGATATACCCCAGGGTGGCCCATTCATCCATGAATCAGCATGGTTTTATTAAAGACCAACTTGGCATTCAACACCAAAACTACCAGAATGTTGGGGACAGTGGCAGTGAGTTCTGTTACAGGTTGCTCTGTACTGTATTCCTGCTGTTACTTTGGATAGGATTTCTTGCCTGATCTGAGATTTGGTTTGTTGCTAGCCTGGTTGGATCTCATAATCTTTTTTGAGGAAGGATTTTGTTAAAGAGACTTCGTTGAATAAGCAAGTTTCACAATCTTAAAGTAGTGGTGGAATAGGTTCTCTTTCAGTCTGATTGATGAAATTAATAGGAATCGCAAAGCCAGCTTCTCCATCCAGCTTTCCTTTCCAAAAAACTAATGTAAGGTTCTGAGGAAGTTAAAAAATGGAGAGTCAAAAATAGTAGTGTTCCATTCCTGGGCTGAAAGCTCAAATTTGAATTTGCTCTACATGAATTAATAAAACCTGTTGATTTCACTGTTAATAGCAAATACTTGATTCAGATAACTGGAGAGCCTGAAGGTGCTTTCAGCTCTTTTTTATTTTTTAAAAATAATAATACATGGTTGACTGTTTTGGAATTGTGGACAGATGGGTAATTGATCTTTATTAGCCCTCTGCTGTCATCTCTAAATAAAAATGGAAACATCTGGCTTTACAATTAACCCCTCTAAAATATGCTTATGAATATGTAATGACACCATTTTTACATGCTACTTAGCTCAGAACCATAATCTCCCAGTGTATAGTATGATAATAGCTTTTGGGGGAGAACGTTTAGATATTTGAAGGGAAGCAGACTTCAGCTGTGGCACTTGTGGAACATGCTGTCATCTTGACTTTACAGCTTAGAACCTATGTACTCCTTCCTTCTTAAAATAAAATTGAAGAGCCTTGAGAGTTTATTAAGGCCAGCTGTATTTCACTTGGACAGATCCTTGGCTCCTACAGACATCTGTAGTTCCAGGAACACTGGTGTGTAGTAGCGGAGAAATGGACAGCCACACATTTGAACGTTCCCCTGCTTTGCTGTGTCCTTTCCCCTCTTCTACTTAGATTCTACTTACTTACAGCTCTTCCCTTGAGAGCTTCTCTACCCCACATTTCAAAAAGAATCTCTCTGTGTTGTATCCAACTATTTATTTAAAGCATTTATAAACCACTTAATATTTTAAAATGACAGCTGGGTACGCACTGCTGTTTACTCTTCATTCCGTTTGCTCCCAGTGCTGGTTTGGGAAACAGTCTACGCATAACCTCAGCCACAATCCATATCTATCCTGTATCTGTCCTGTTGTCTCTTATGAAATACTGTGTTTAGCTGTGCTTCCCTCCAAACCAGCTTCAATCCAAATTGTGGAAAAGAACAACCTAGCTGCGTTCTTAGCTGGTAATGTGTGCACAGCCTAAGTCACTGCATGAGTGGAAAAAACTTTCTCTTGTGCAATGGAACCTCCCCTCCCCTCCCTTTTCAGGCACTTTGCACCCCCACATCTGCTCTAGAGATTCTCCTTACCCTCCAGAGCAAGATCTTAGGGTGGAGCAGTGTGGTTTTGTGTGTGCAGGGTGTGTGTGTGTGTGTGTGTGTTGATGTTGGAGAGGGAGGGGAAATTCTGCTGTGCAAGTGGAAGTAATTCACTTTACGCAATGATTTGGTTGGCTACAAGTCTCTGCTCCCCCCCTCACTCTGATCAGTTCCACTTTCTGTCATCTTCTCTGTGCACCTGAAGTCTAACTTTGGAGTTCTCATCATATGTTAAAATCCCAGAATATCAGACTAGGGTTGAAGGAGACATCATCACATCTTCCTGACTTGTCTATCTTGTACTCACATGTGCATTTCCTCACCTCCTAGAACTGTCAGTCTGGCACTTCTTTAAAAAACTAAAAAAAAAGTTAAGGGTTTTTTGTTTTAAATAGCCTACATTGATAGATGAAGAGGAGCTGGCAAGTGCAGTGTTCTAGCGAAGAAAATAGTATTTAGTTTTTAGACATATGTGCCATAGAAGGCTGCTTTGCATCCAGTCAGACCAGTGTTCCATCTAGTTCAGTATTGTCTACATGTGCACATGGTGTTAGTCATACTTTTTTTTTAAAAAATGTAAATAATAATAATAATAATAATAATAATAATAATAATAATAATAATTTTATTGTTCATATCCTGCCCATCTGGCTGGGTTTCCCTAGCCACTCTGGGTGGCTTCCAGCAATATATATATATATATATATATATACACACACACACACACAAAATGTCAGACATTAAAAACTGAACAGGGCTGCCTTCAGATGCTTTCTAAAACTTGTGTAATTCTTTATCTCACTGACATCTGATGGGAGGGCGTTCCACAGGGAAGGGCACCACTGCCAAGAAGACCCTCTGCCTGGTTCCCTGTAACCTTAATTCTCGCAGTGACGGAACCGCCAGAAGGCCCTCGGAAGTGGACCTCAGTGTCCATACTGAATAATAGGGGTGGAGATGCTCCTTCAGGTATACTGGGCCGAGGTCATTTAGGGCTTTAAAGGTCAGAACCAACACTTTGAATTGTGCTCAGAAATGTACAGTGGTACCTTGGTTCTCAAACTTAATCCGTTCCGGAAGTCTGTTCCAAAACCAAAGCGTTCCAAAACCAGGGCACACTTTCCCATAGAAAGTAATGCAAAATAGATTAATTCGTTCCAGAGTTTTAAAAACAACTGCTAAAACAGCAATTTAACATGAATTTTACTATCTAACGAGAAAGCAATGAACAATTATAATACTGCAGTCACACAATAAATCAATCAGTAGCTGAACTTGGTTCCACACAGTCACAAAAACAAAACAAAACAAAACAAAACAAAAAGAGCCACAAAAACAAAAATGCAAAATAAATAGCAAAAACAGACAGACCTCAGCGTAACACTCGAAATGGAAGTATGGCACTCAAAACGGAAATGTGGCACTCAAAACGGAGCACGTTTGGCTTCCAAAAAAGTTCACAAACTGGAACACTTCCTTCCGGGTTTGCAGTTTTTGGGTTTCAAGTTGTTTGAGTACCAAGGCGTTTGAGAACCAAGGTACCACTGTACTGGGAAACAGTGAAGATCCTTTAGGACCAGTGTTATATGGTCTTGGTGGCCACTCCCAGTCACCAGTCTAGCTGCCACATTTTGTATTAGTTGTAGTTTCTGAGTCACCTTCAAAGATAGCCCCACGTAAAGCTCACTGCAGTAATCCAAGCGGGAGACAACCAGAGCATGTACCACTCTGGCGAGATGGTCTGTGGGCAGGTAGGGTCTCAGCCGGCGTAGCAGATGTGCTTAAAGTACTTAATCTGACCATGTTTATTTTGGAGAAAAAGCAGCTGCAGGGCCCCAGTCTGAAACATGCTCGATTCAGATCAGAAACATATTCTGGATCAGGGCCTGTTGTTGTTTATATTTGTTTATATTTATTGCATTCACTTCTACTTCACCTTTCCTCCAAGTAGCTCAAGGTGGTGTACATGGTTCTGTTCCTCCCCATTTTATCCTCACAACAAACTTGTGAGGTAGGTTAGGCAGAGAGATGGCCCAAGGTTACCTTGGGTTGAGCAGATATTTGAACCCTAGTCTATATGATTGTAGCCCAACAATCTAACCAAGTGCATTAAAAGAAGAAGAGGAGGAAGAAGGAACAAGAATAATAATGTGTCATTTGGCTAGTGAGTGGTGCTGACAGCAAGCCCAAAGGGATTGGCTGCAGGAGGGAATTGCTAATTGGGAACTTCCTCCTGCAGCCAATCCCTGTTTTTAGCATGGATCTTCCTTTGCAGTTTGGCTTGAACTCAAGCTGGGCAGCTGCAAAGGAAGAAAGGAAAGAACTAGAAGTGCATTTAGAGTTCCCTGCCACTACAACTTGTACATTTTTTTTTTTTAAAGATAGTGGCTGGTGTGATGGTGCAGAGTGGTGGAACTGCTCTCCTCAACATCGCTGCAGCTGGGGCAGGGCAGGGGTGGTGGTCAGGTTGGAACTTTGCGGATGTTCTGGAGGAGCTAATCTGGCATTCCTGCCAGTTTGTCCACACAGCCCCAGCCTTGTTGCCGTCCTGTCCCAGCCACATCCATATAAACTGTAGCGATGCCAGTGGTGGCAGGACTGTTCTGTGGCTCTGCCCCACCCAACTGCATAACTTGTTCAAAAAGAACAGTTGCAACAGAAAGAGGGGGGTGTTGTGTTATATGAAAAGGTAAAGGTAAAGGGACCCCTGACCATTAGGTCCAGTCGTGACTGACTCTGGGGTTGTGGCGCTCATCTCGCTTTATTGGCCAAGGGAGCCGGTGTACAGCTTCCGGGTCATGTGGCCAGCATGACTAAGCTGCTTCTGGCGAACCAGAGCAGCACACGGAAACGCCGTTTACCTTCTTGCCAGAAGGTACCTATTTATCTACTTGCACTTTGACATTCTTTCAAACTGCTAGGTTGGCAGGAGCAGGGACCAAGCAATGGGAGCTCACCCCGTTGTGGGGATTCAAACCGCCAACCTTCTGATTGGCAAGTCCTAGGCTCTGTGGTTTAACCCACAGCGCCAACCACGTCCCTAGGTTATATGAAAGAAGAGTCTATTAGTACCTGAAATGAATATTTGATCCTAAGTGGCTAAATCAGCCTTTCTCAACCTGTGGGTCCCCAGATGTTGTTCAACTACAACTCCCATCACCCCTAGCTAGCAAGGCCAGAGCTCAGGGACGATGGGAGTTGTAGTCCAACAACATCTGGGGACCCACAGGTTGAGAACTGCTGTGCTAAATGAATTGTTTTAGCAGTTCTGAAAGTGTGAGATGGGCCTCCCTAGAGTAGGATGGATAGTAGCCAGGAGAGGACCAAGCTTCCTTCTTACAGTGACTGTCTGAATGCAGTGAATGGCAACCACCCAAGTGTTGAAGGTCGTTTGAAAGAAGAATCACTACTTGTGTGTTCACTAACCTAGGGATGGGGTGAAAATCTGATTCAGTTTGCATTTCAAGATGAACATCCCTAATCCACAGTTTCTTAAACAAGACGCAAATGAAACACAGCTATCCATTGCTTTGCACTTTCCTGAATTTTGCAGTGCAGTTTTCCAGACAGGTAATGTGCATGAAAATGCATACAGTGCAGTAAAATGTGCATAAAATGAATGTATCAGTGAAAATAACATACAAACGTGTATTAGGGAAAGTTGCTTTAGGAAAAAAAATGTGTATACAGTATTAAGAAAATTTGCATAGAAATGTGTCTGGTGAAATTCCCACTGTGAAGCTTATGAATTTTCACGAAGACTTTAAAAAATGGCAAACTGATGTGGAAATATGGAGGATTGAACTTAAGATTGGATAAAATGAGAAACTGAAATTGACTGAGTCTCCCATCTCATACTAATATAAGTTCAGCCAGTTGTTGTACTATTCTAGAGTCTTGGAAAACCCGTCTCACCTGAGACAACAGTGAGGCAAAAGTAAACAATATGTACTCCATAGGCAACCCTGCTTTGTCATATAATACATTGTTTTATCTTACGAGTGACTAGGCAGCACCATCCCTTACTGAATATGAAAGCTGAAGTATCCATACAGCAACAATCAGTTTCCATCAGCAGTTGGGTTCCCAAGGGTCCCTCCCATGGGAACTATAAAGCATGCTGCTTTCTCATGCAACTCTGTTTTGCTCCTCTCCTCTCCATCCTCTTTCCTCCTGGCCTAAAGACAGAGTGAGCATCACCAAATCACCTGCCTATTTTCCTTCAAGCGTTGTCTTGGGTCTCGTCCAGAAAACCCCCTCACCCAGGTGGTTTCATATTACAGCACTAGAAACTTGGAGAAGCGTACTGCAAAACTCGCATGCCTCCTCTCTGCGTGGGAGACCCTGCTCTCCACTGTTAGGGGTGGGGAAAGTGTTAGAGCAACACAGTTGGGCATGACGCATATAGCAAAAGGTGTGGGAGGAGGAGGCATGGGAAACACAGTTGTCCATTTCAGGGCGTGTGTCCCCCTTCCATAGCTTACCTGTGTGGAGTGCTTTCTTGTAATGGAGTTGGGTGTTCATGTCTGGGGTCCCAAGATGAGGTTCCTGTTGGGGTTCTAAACAGACTAGTACTTTCAGTATGTTCAAGTTCGACTTTGTGCATTCTGTTTTGTGCGAAGTGCACCTGTTTCTCTGAAAAGAGCCGGAAAAGCCAGTCAGAGGGAAATTATTTGTTCCAGCTCTGGGGCTGGTATACAACTGTGCTGTTAGTGCGGGGCATAGCTGTGGATTGTCCTGCCTACAACCGTACCCCATTTTGGCTGTTGCACTGGCATATTTTCACCAGTGGACAGCTCAGCCAGCTGCTAGCGTTCTGCTTGAAAATCTGGCGTGTTCTGACAGTGTACATTTCAAGGTGGCAGTGTAGCTCAAGTTCTGCTGGCATAGGAGGTCTTTGGACAAATTCCTCTCCTTTCCCCCCAAATAACAAACCAAAGGTACACTCAGAATTTGCCGGGTGTCATGTGGAGTGCTGAATTTAGCTATCCTGCTTCTTACTTTTATTTTTAGGGCATGAAATTGCAAATTTTCTGAAATGCAAACACTGTACAAGAAGGATTTGATTCTGCCTTTAAAAATGTGACACCATTCCGTGCTTGAATGTACACTGATTGCTTTCATTTATTCTGCTTAACAGATAACAGAAGATGTCTCAATAAGTGCAACAGAATGCCACCAACCTCTTAAATACTTACTAAAAAGAACCACAGACACCAGGAAGAAGTCACTAATTATACTATAGCATCGTGCACCGAACTGAAGGATGGTCTGCCCTCTTGTGTCTCAGTATTTTAACTTGTAGTTGTATAACAAGTTCTATCTCTCTGTGTTTTCTGACAAGTGCATTATGTAGAAATGAACATCTTTCATGTTGTAAGATAAAACCAAACGCAATATTAAAAGAAAGATCAAAGCTGGGGGAAAGGGGCACAATTATGTGGATGTTATTTCTGCCTTTATAAAATCTCATGCAAGCTTCAGTGACTAAGAACAAACTTCAAATGAGCTGCTAATAAACATTCCAAATGTGTTGATTGTAAAATATTCATCTGTTTTGTACAGTTTTATTTTGGGCTGTGATGAGAAATGAATCATCATTCTGTGTTTTTTTTAAATGAGTCCCCCCCCCCCCCGTTCAGTGTTATTTATAAAGTGGTACCTTTGTTACAAAAAGCTTTCCTACTTATTTTAGCCTTTGTGTACGAGGAGAAGTGATGCTGATTTAAACGAATCCTCAAAGGATTTTCTGAACTGTTAAGTTTAAATTTTGTGCCTTGTTTTGAAGCATTTATTTAAATAAGGATACTGAAAGGCATATGTGTTTGTTAGCAAAGAAATACATATCTCCTCTTAAATTCTAAGTGCAATTCTTTGCATGTTTACTCAGAGGTTAGTCCCATTGAATTCAGTGGGATTTCCAGTAAATGTGTATTGGACTGCAGCCTGTATTTCATTAATATTAATGTATAAAGGTATAATAAAAGAGATATGGACAGATTGCTTAACAACCACAGGCTTATCACCAAGTTGGGAAGGATTAAGAGCATCTGGTTAAAGCATAGCACAAGTCTCTAGAGCCACTTTGAGGGTCATACAGAGTCTTACTGGTTGTGGTCATGATAGTGAGCCCCATGGGCAATTACCAAGTGTTGTCAATGAGCACATATCATTATGGTCAGCTGAGCTCTGCTCTAGTGCAAGCTCGCTTGAAAGCAAGTAGGGCGTAGTGCCATTACAGCTGAGGGGACCAATAGAGAATTGTTTATATAGGGTTCCAGTCTTTTACAGCTAGTAGGGCTGGGTGATAATATCGATAGATCGTCTAAAACTGGTTTGAAGTCCATATCATGATATTGGTTTCATAATTTTGACCTGGCAATATATCATGAATCACGATGTGTGTGCATGCGCTATGCAAAAATCACAACGTGGGAAGAAGCTTGAAGCCAGCCAATGCCTCTACATAACTCCATCCTTATTTCAGACATTATATCAGTATATCGGTATATGGCTATGTTTAGCTGGCGATGTATTGATGTAGAAAACCAGATATCGCCCAACCCTAACAGCTAGTTGCTAATGTATAGCCAGCAATGTTAAATTATGAACTGAAGCAACAGGGAGTGCAACAGGCATGCATTTCACACCCAAGCTGCTCTGAAGGGACCAAAATGGGTACCTTAGTATGCAGCAGTAGTGAAACAAAGTGTATTTCTTTGTTCCAGTGATAACCTTCTATCGGTGGACCTTTCCAGAAGATGTTTTGTTTGCACAAGGATAATCTTGTAGCTGTTGCCCCACCTAGTTCCAGTTTGGGTTTGTTCTTGCCCTTTTGTACTGGGAGGGTTAGAGTTGCCTTGCTGCAGGAAAGGATAGCCAAAATCTGCACATATTAAGAGAGATGAGCACAGTAGTGCTTGGCAGTGGGAGGGAAAGTCTCTCCAATGGGACGCCAGAGGTGGCACCTGGCAGGTGCTCACAACATTAACACACAACACCTAAGCCCATATGTTTTTATATTAACATTTTATTATGTTTTGACAGGAGAGTGACACAAATCACTGAAGCATCATTAGTAGCAAATGACAGGTTCAACATTTCTTAGGCAAACAGACCCCCCACCCAGTGCCCCCTGACCTGAAGATGACAAATTTGAGGAAAGAGAAAGAAGAAAGGAGGAACTTTGTCAAAAAATGTTGACAACCAGTGCCTAGTTAGAGAAAATGAAATGATTCCCAAAGGAGTGAACAGTCTCAGAATTAGCCCTCCTGCCACAACAAATTTGTTATTTAGTAGACAGATCTCAAAGATCCTCAACCCCATGCTCTCTCTTTGAAGATTATGACTTCTAAAACTGCAGCACAGTTCATTTTGCCATTAGTGATATGCTAGAAATTTAAAGCACAGCAAGTTTTGGAAGTGCCAAAATTACCAAGATGAATATGGTGATTAAATAAGCACCAGAGCTAAAAAGACATTAGTTCTATCATTTTCCCAAATAAAGACTCAATAATGGGGCACTTTTCCATGTGTTTTTAGACCTAGCAAGGGTTTCCACACCTCCAGCACATGGTTGTGCCTGCATTGCATTTTCTCAACAGCTCAATACTGCCATCTGAATGCAGGGAAAAGTTATTTTCTAGGAAAATGTGTTCACTGAAAATAATAATCTAGATTCCTCCAGTTGATGGGCAGCCCAATTGTGTATTCTTCGTGCAAAGTATCTGGAAGGGTCCCCTAGGAACAAGAGGATGAAATGGTACACGGGCTCAGGTAAACAATGTTCCCTTTGGAATATGCTAAAGTTAGTTCCAAGGTTAGATATTCAGAATTAAAATGCGTAGCTTTGAATTTCTTTGCCAAAGTTCAATGCCAGCTGAAGGATTTGAAATTGGTATTTGACTTTTGAAATTGGTATTTGTTCTCCTAAACCATCAATATTTGAATTGCAGCATAAGAAGTGGTAGTTAAATGACAGACGACATCTTTGTAGTCAGTGCAAAACTTCCATTGAGCTTGATGGATTCTGTACTAAGCTTTTTAACCATGTGCTAAATATAAGAGAATCAACACTGTTAATAAACATCAATGCATCAAGAAATGTGAAATGTGTACTCTGTAGATTGTCTGATGTGTTTCACTGTGCAGATAAAAATCAGAAAATTGTTAATCGGATGAGTTCTTGCAAAAAACATTTCCAGTGCTTGTTGAAATACCAGCTACTATGAAATTCTACTTTTGGTCATGGGGGTGACTTGAGGGTGTTCATTTTCTATGCCTTTTCCTGTTTCTTGCATTGACCTGAACATTTGCTCTGCCCTTTTTATTAAAGGCCTTATGCAAAGTCAATATGCAATGAAGAAAACTGCCGAGCTGTGTTTTCTCAAGTTTGTAGTTGGTTATTCCAGGTGCATAGTTGATCTGTGTGGATATTAAAGCCATTTAAAATAAAAATGAATAGAAGGAGGACAAGTTCACAGCTCATGGCTCTGCCATCTTCCCTATGCATGTTCAGCAAAATATCTCTGCACATTCAAATAGCATGAGTGATCAGGAGCAAATCCGTTGATCATGCTTACAGAGCCTAGATGTGTGTTCTCCTCCTCCTCCTCCTCCTCCTCCTTCTTTCACTCATGGCCGAGCAAGATTGTCTTCCATGAACACGGTCTTAACAGTGAGTCCATAAGTGACTATGGAGGCCAATTCTGGATCCACACGTCCTTCCACAGCGGGGAAGTGTACTATGCACAGATTATTTATGCATTCCTTTTTATCATGTCCTTCCTCCAAGAACTACATGCTCCCCCTCCCTCACCTCCATTTGATCATCATAATAGGAGGTAGGAGACACTAGTCCAACGTCATCCAGTGAGCTTCATAGCTGAGTAGGTATCTGACCCAGGTCTGCCTAGTCCTAGTCGAGTGCCCTAACCATGACACAACACTGGTTCTTATGCTGAGCAGATACATGAAGGGAGAGTCATCATATGGAATCTTATTTCCCCCACTTCATGCTTTACATGATCACAACATGTGTTAAGTCTTTCTTCTTTTACACCATGTTGCAATGGGGTAAACACTTCCCTAGGAGTAAGTCCCCATTGAACTCAATGGGATCTTATTTTGAGTAAACATGCATAGGATCGTGCTGTATAATCCAACCTTTTTTGTGTTAACCAAGATACTATTGCACTCCCCAAGGTGCCCTTGAAATGCTGTTAGGAAGCATCTTGTCTTCTCTGGCATTGGATACAGATGGGATCTGATTCTGAGTCTCCTGAAGTTGCGCATTGCATTACTTTAAAAGCTTTACATCAGTTTTTACTCCTGCCATATCAGCTGTTTTTGCAGAGGTTCAGTGTAGATTGCATTTGCCAACCACTTCTAGAAGCAAAAGTTATACCTGAGCAGTGTCTATAGCAGCACAGCAAGCAGAAAACTTTTCTTTTGTAGAGACAACACACTGTTTTTGTGGAGGGCAGGTTAGGGGCTATTCTGTTTTCAATAAAGAACTATTTTGTCCCTATTTTGACATATTGTACGTCAGGAGAACAGGAAATAATCAGCTTTTCTGCTTAGAGCTAAGGCTTCACAGACTGTACATCCATCTTTATCAGGTAATTTCAAAGCACAGCATAGCAGGCTACAAAGAACACAGTATATTTTAAGAAAAATAAGGGCAATATCTTAATGAGGCCAACCAAAATGTCACACGGCAGTGTGCAGGTTTTTAACTTCTGTAGAACTCTTCATCAACCTAGATGGTAAACAAAGCTGGGAATGGGGGCTGATGTTGAGAGTATCACGAAAGGCAATTCAGAAATTCAACTACAGGCTAATCCCATTGAGTTAATGGCAGTAAATCTGCTTAAATCAAAGTGTTCTGTCTTGGTGGATTTGCGAGCAGTGGCCTAAAGACACAGTCCATTGGGACGTTGTACTGTATTTTGCAGCCTCAATGAAAGAACAGAAACTACGGAGGAACACTCAGCCATGCAGCTCAGTGGGTGACCTTGTGCCTGTTACTGTCTCTCAGCCTAAGCTGCCTCAAGATGCTGTGAGGATAAAATGGGGAGGGAGAGAGCCATATACACTGCCTTTAGTTCATTGGAAGAAAGGTGGGATGTAAATGTAATTAATG